TAATTTTGTAAATGAGTGCTTTCCAGTGGGAGAGTTACTTACATGTTACTCAACTTTTGTAAAATATAACATTTACTTAGTGTCTTATTGACAGATTGTAAATAAATGGGAGAAAAAAAAAAATTACGAAAGTAATTATTAATAAATTGTTATAGATTGAAAAAATAATATCGAGACTTACTTTTATTATGTAATTTGAATTTTTCGCATTCATCACGACAAATTTTGTATAGATTCTCTAAGTCACCACCTCTTTGCTCGGTTATTACTTCAAGCACTGCAATTAGAAAAACGCAATTAATATTGATTAACTTTTATTTGTAACATGTTTTTAAATCACTTTAATTTCTAAAATAATTTTTAAAATAATTTTATAATTTAAAAATTTTGGCAACTGTTTTAAAATGTACTTATCATAATCTAGATATGACTGAATAGATTTGTAAATAACACATACAGGGTTGGCCATATTCGACGGAAAGATCTGGCAACACTGTAACTTTTGACAGAGATGTTAGATCGAGTAACGACGTTTCCCATGATTAAAAAAAAAAACATCTTTCCGTCGAATATGGCCAACCCTGTATATATTACGGTATATATATAAATTTTTATAAATTTTATCTTAAGAGTACATCTTCTTCAAAGATTTACATAAGTTAAAAAAATATTATTAAAATAATAATATTGTTACAGATATTCATATTTCTTTCTTATTTTGATTCTTATTCAAATATTAAATATTAAATAAAATAATAATAGTCTGCTATTTTTCAAAATTTGCAAAAAATATTTTTTTAATTTTATAAACTTTACACTATATGATAAATAAAAGAAGAAACCAATTTTAAAGTTATAAAAAATATATGAGAAAAATGTGTATAGCTCTATTCTTTGTCAATACTACTCTTTTCCAAATTCTTCTATCTTATCTTTTTATTTATGTAATCAAGACGGATCGGTAGAGTCAACATTACCAAATTCGGCTATGTTATAGAAGCTGGGACACGTGAATCCGGCAATATTGTACGTCTTTAAAATCTCGCTCTTTGAACCGCAGTACATACTTCTGCCTTGACTCAATACCATAATGTTATCGAAAAGCGAAATTATTTGACTACTGGGTTGATGTATTGCACAAATCACAGTGCAATTTGATCTCGACATATCATGCAGCATGTTAACGAGCTATTCAACACAAATTATACATTCCGATATATCATATTAAGAGCATTAAAATTGAACGTTATTACAAAACAGTGCATTATAACATTTTAGCAACATTGCAACATTTCAGTAAATGAGTTAATGTTATTTGTCGTCATTTTGATATACTAAAATGACTTCAAATAACATTAGCTGATTTGTTGAAATTGCTACGATATTATATTTCTAGAATGTTCTGTGTATTCGTGCAAAAAAATTATTAACTTACAAAATATAATAATAAATATCAGTTTATATTAATTAGGAATGTATCATCGGATTCATAAACACGTATAATCATATATAAAATATGTCCATACATTCTTGTGTAAAATTACTTTTTAGTGTAATAGAAATAATAATAATGTGTAAAAACAAAAAATAATTAAAGGGATAATTTTCGCATTGTTCGTTTTAGAAAAAAAAAATTTGGAAAAATACTCATACACAATTGTGCATAATTTTATTCAACTTTACTCAGATTTTTGAACCAACTGTCATTCAGATCACATATAGTGAATTTAATATCCATGTAATCAAATGCCCTTAGTTCAATCTGTACAAGATTATTGGTCATTAATTACTGGTTTATCAAAACAATATTTAATTGAAGCCGTTGATTATCTTGGACCTTGAATCGACCACAGATTATTCCAAGAGTTTGTCATGTAAGTTTAGAACCAACGAGATATTATTCTTTTTAAGATAATAAAAATTTAATATAAAATTGTATTTGATTAATAGTTAATTTAGCAATTAAAATAAATGAGCTCTTGGATACATAAAGACATATAAAAACAGAAACAACAGCAAATAAACCAGCATTAATCCGTTTATATATTTTTTTAACTTATGATGTTTATGTTATTTATATGACAAATACTTTTCTTAACTATTAAATATTTGTATTAAGGATCCAAATTGGCGATCGAAACGTTTACAATTTAATGTATATTTAATGAATAAATTAATTAACACATAATCAACTAGTGTCAGCTCTTATAGGCACTTTTATACTTTATGATTTTATTTATATATAATTATATATTATGCATAATTGTGTATGAATATTTTTTTACATTCTTCCAAACTTGTTTTCTAAAACTAACAATGTGAAAATTATCGCTTTAATTATTTTTTATGTTTTCTCATTACTATTATTATTTCTATTCTATACTAAAAAATATTTTTATAAAAAAAAAAGACGGATGTATGAACATGGATATATTTCATATATGATTATATATCTTATTATCGTTTGTGAATATTTATGTATGTTTATACATATTTATATATATTCATGCATAAAAAATTTTTTACTGGTCAGATCTGAAAAGAAACGTGACATTGGATATACAATTTCTCTATTCTATTTAAAAGAAAAAGATAAAAAGGAAAACAATTAGAAAAATAGCGATAATAATTTTCTTTAGAAGTTTTGAGATGTTTCTTATTAAAATTTGGAGAGATTATTAATATTTTTTGATTGATTATGTTGAAAGTTTGCAAATAATCGGCGCATAGTTATACTTCTAAGGTAAATTAATTCATTTAAAAAATACATTCATAATATGTAAATATTAGTTTAACATCTGACTGTGACCGAAAATGACGCTTCACTCTTTAAATAATTTTCTTTATCTCGCCGTAAAAAGAAAAAAAAAGATGAATATAGAAAGTATAGAAAGTTAAGGTGAAAAGAATTCAGCATTAATGACACGGATTTTCAATATAAATAGCCGAATATATTGCCGAATACTAATAACATGCGGCTATCCGGCGGAAGAGTAAAAAAAGGCCGAATAAGATCGGATATCGTATACTTTCAAGATATCCAGTACATTCCTAATATTATATAATTAATATTATATGCTTTTGAAACGATCGTTAATAATATATAGCTGTATTTAGTAATATACGTATATACCTGATAAGAGGCCACACTATCGAGACCGCTTGTTGGTTCGTCTAATAATAGAATAGATGGTTTAGCAATTATTTCCACGCCGATAGAGAGTCTCTTCTGTTCGCCACCACTTAATTTGTTCGCTAATGTGTCCAGACAATTTGATATACTGAGAGTTTCCGCTATATCGTTTACCTGATAGAAATAAATAAATTCCATACACAGAAAGATTGCAGAAACATTGCAAAATGATTTCACTGAAATATTGCATAGTTGTAAAACGTTGTTGAATCATTGTTGCAAAATTCCAATAATATTAAGACGTCCGGTTTTTATTATATTGCAACAAAAACGTTCCAGCAATATTGCAATGTAATGTATTTGGATAAATTTTTTACGACTCTAAAATGAAAACTATTTCTATACACATACCTCACTAACTTCAATTTTTCTACAAATCGTATTTCTAGTGATATGCGCTTTCCAAAAGCAATTTTTTATGATAAAACTATAAAATATTCTAATAAATATAATATTAATTCTCAGGGACAAACTACAAATATTATCCACATTAATATAATAATACAGCTTGGTATGTTAATCATGGATTAAGTTAATCGCAGTGATAAATTAAATTAAATACTATGAGAAATAATATGTATGTATATACATATTATTTCTCATAGTAATAATTAATGTATGTATATACATACTATTTTTATTAGATAAAGAATGTCCAAAATTTGCGATTCAAAATATTATCAAGAAGGTTTTAATAAAATAAAATAAGAAAGTTATTCGTAAATTTTTATTTTAAAGAATAATTTTTTAGATAAACCTTTAAATATAGACAGTTATAGATTACATTTAGACAGCCATAAGTCATGTATGCAGTAGTATTACTAAGTGCGTGCATCTCTCTCTCTCTCTCTCTCTCTCTCTCTCTCTCTCAGTGCTCACTAATACTCACAGGTAATCATCTAAAGTAGTCTGTAATTGACAATATTTAAACCTTCATATCTCAGAAACTCTTGCTTAAAATAAAAATTTACAAATTACGAATTTACGAATTTACGAAAGACAATAAGATTTTTTTATGTAGTGAAAAAAGCTCACTATGACAAGATAGTTATTACGTATACATTCTATAAAGATGATTTATGTCTTTAAAAAGAAGGCTCACAAAAATAAGCCGAAACATGTAAGTGTATTATTATATAATAAAGAGTTTTGTGTTATATCTATATTATTTGCACAACGACCGCGTCCGATTTCTATTGCCCTCTTATCTTCAAATTTCTTTTGCATATGCTTAAGTTTAAGAGAAATATATCCAAGCAGAATACAAATCATTATGATCATTATTCCAAAATGATTATTAAAAGTTATTTTTTAATCATTTCCAATTTATTTTGACGTTATCATTTCAATGTCATTTTGACGTTATCGTAATTTGTTGCGTTCTGTTTGGGTATATCTAGACATATACCTAATTAAATGCTAAAAATAATCTCGAAAACGTTTGGAAATGCTCGAAAGTAAAAATAATAAATGCTAAGTTAGTATTATTAGCATATTAGCATCATGGTGTAATCTATTTTGGAACATTTTTAGCAACATTGTAGTAAGGTTACAATGAACTAATTACTATTGAACAAATGTTTTCATGCAAAAAAATCATTTAATATTTATAGCGGAAATATTAAGAGAAGCTACTATACTCTTTAAATCTGAATCAGATAGTCATTATGCCAGTAGCATAAACATACATAAATATTTATAAACATGTATAATTATATATGAAATATGTCCATATATGTTTATATATTCTTTTTTCTTTTATAAAATTACTTTTTAGTGTAATAGAAATAATAATAGTAATGTGAAAACATTAAAAATAATTGTAAAGGCAATTTTCGCACTATTTATTTAGAAAAAATTAAGTTTGAAGAAATGTAAAAAAATTATTTATGTATAATTATATATAAAATTATGCATAATTATCTATGAACAATTTTTTTTATATTTGTCCAAACTTGTTTTTTCCTAAAACAAACAATGCAAAAATTATCCCTTTAAATATTTTTTATGTTTTCACATTATTATTATTATTTCTAATACACTAAAAAGTAATTTCACGAAAGAAAGAAGGATGTGTAAACATGTATGATATGTATTTCATATATAATTATATATGTTTATGAATATTTGCGTGTTTATATTTATATATTATTATATTGTATGTTTATATTTATACATATTTATACATATTTATACATATTTATACATATTCATACATATTTATACATATTCATTCTCGAAACATTTTTTACCGGGTAGTTAGATCACATAATAAAGATTAGCTAGGTTAAGGATTTCACATTTAATTCACTGATTACCAGTGGCATACTTGGCACTGATATCAGTGATTATCCACTGACTTCAGATTTAGAAAGTACTTACAAAGCTATAATGACTTGATTTTGTCCTCTATGTATACGAATACGCTTGAAAAGTTTCTTATTTATGTTTTACTTACAACTGAACAAATTGCTTCTTTGCTCTGATTAATGTCAAGTTTCAGTCGAGCCGCTATATAAAGAGTTTCTCTAGTTGTGAGGAACGGTAATAGAGCCAATTGTTGCGGCACATAGCACACCTGTTTCCGGAATGTCCCTTTATTTCGTTCAATGCCATTTATAGTAATGGTGCCCTTAATGTCCGTCAGTCGTTTGCCCGATATGATTTTCAGCAGAGTGGTTTTTCCTGCACCGGAAGGACCGATTATCACCGTAACCTTCCTCCGTTCGAAGTATCCCGTCACATTATGTAAAATCGTTTTTTCAGTCTCTATAAAATAATAAAATATTCTTCTTTAACCATGTTAAAGCGACATAAAAAACACGATATTCGTCATCGGAGCGTTTTTTTTTTTCGTTATACAACCAGAAGCAACTGCGATTATCTTCTGTCCTTGAAGACGAAGATATAGCTTTAGCCGTGATCGCTTCTGAATCAGTGAATAAAAATGCCTACAATTAGTCCGAAAAATCAATTCGACTCGCAGTTTAATAATTACATATATAGTATATAAATTCACTTGAAATTATTTAAGAACTAAAGATTCAGCTTTGACCGTTATATGGACTTTATTTCTTATTGATTATGTATTTACATGTACGATAGAATAAAATTCTTATTATTTATATTATTGAAATAAAGATGTTTGTTTTCGTATATGTACTAATGATCGATTATTGCGAAGAATATCACAAAAGTCTCGATGGTATTAAACAGAGCAGTTTAAGGTCGGAATCTTTTAGCCTAATATTGAAATGTGTCGGTATTTACGCCCGTTTCTATTCCTCATTTTATTGCTGTTTTAATGCGCTCGGTCTCAGGGATGACACTAGTCTGAAATCGTTAAAAGTTTTTGATCTATGTCTTTCACTATAGTTGTACTCAGAACACAACAGTTTTTTGTTGATGGTCAACACCATCTAGTGACAAAAAACCGCGGATACTTTTTAGATCCAATATATAAAATTATATATTATACATAATTATGTATGAGTAATTTTTTTTACATTTTTCTAACTTGTTTCTTTTAAATAAACAATGCGAAAATTATCCCTTTAATTATTTTTTATGTTTTCACATTACTGTTATTATTTCTATTACATTGAAAAATAATTTTACAAATGAAAGAGAGATGTATGAACATGCATGTGAAATCTGCATCTGAAATAATTTTTCCGAGCATGTGTAAAAATGCCCCCATTTCAGTCGTGCAAATAATTATACCTTTTGGAATAACGATATAACGTATTTTTTTTCTTAAAGTTCACGTTTTCCTCTGGTAAATGTCCAATATAGACAAGTACTTTCTGATGACTTTAACATATGCCAAGGTCACAACTCCGACCAGCAAAAGGTTTTAGCCCGTGATCGTCCTTTGTTAAAAAGTTATTACAAAAAAAATTTCAAAAATAATGTATATTATTATACGTATATTATATTTCTGCTACACATACAATATTAAATACGTAGGTTTTGACTTTCAACATGAAGCTATTTTAACCCCCCCTCCTCTCTCCCTCCTTTTTTAAGGAGCGCACGACTTTCATAATTATACTGTTGCACAACGTTGAAATCCACGTGCAATAGTACAATTATGGAAGTCATGCATCCCTTAAGAAGGGGGGGGGGGAATGAGAGTAGCTTAGCGTAGAGAGTTGTGTGCTCCTTATACAATAATTAGCAACTTTGATTGTTAATAACTTTTTGAGGACGACCGCTAATATCTTTTAAACGTCATTCGGGGTCATGACTTTGACCACATATGTCAAGTTATCGGAGAGTGCTCCCCTATACTGGACATTTGTCATATTTTCTATCGAGATTTGTGATAATTACAAAGTCAGTCAAAAAACGCCGTGGAGATCCAGACATGTAAATTAAGATTTTAAAACGAAATATGTATATTAAACTGCTTCAGATAAAGAAAAATAATTGGAGATATAAGTGATTGGAAATGAATATAAGTATAGAGTAAAATCTCCATAAGCAATAGTATGCGCAGCACCGCATGAAAAAAATTAGATTGGGTGGTACAGTAAAGCTATAGTCTACTGCGCGAAATTAATATCAATTATTAAGAAGATTTGATGATTTAACAACTCGCTAATGTTATTCAGCTGTCAGCTTTGCTACTGTAACATAGAAAATTAATTGTCTATATATTACGATTATTGACAGATTTGCTGAATCAGTTTTATCTGTGTTCTTTTTTTGTACGCCACTAGATAGACATCAGTTCTTATTTCTTACAAATAAAATCCCGTAAAGATTAATTAGAATAAAAGACATAGCATGAGATTTTTTATCTGTCTTCTATTGAGATGATTCTTTGAAAGTGAGATTCCAAAATGGGATTCCAAGATGAAACTTATATTCCCAAGATTTTAAAGTTATTTTAATAAATTTTCAGCAACATTTCTGACATATTTCAGAAAAGTTTTAGCAATTTTAATAACTTTTTAGCAATATTTCAAAAAGGTTATAAGTTTTTTAAATGATCTTTTGGCAATTTTTCTATAAGGTTTTAATTACAAAAATCGCGATTTGCTATTCAAGAACTTTCTGTCTCAAATATTTCATTATATATTAGATGGGGTGAAAAGTAACCTCCTTGACCGCCAGAATGCGCGACTACTGCAAAAAAGTTTATGGTGCCTTGTAGTCTGTTCATATTTAGGCAGACATGCCAAGTGGCAGTGCGATACTGCCCTTAGTTTTGTTTTGAGAGCTGATTGTTGTTGACGTGTTTGCGAAAACGATTTTCGTTCTCTCATAAAACATTATTTTTTGAAAGGCAAAACGGCGAAGGAAACAAAAGAAAAGTTGGATAAATATTATGTGGCTAATACTCCGTCAGATTACACCGTCAAATATTGGTTTCGAGAGTTTCGTGGTGGCCGCAACTCCACTACCGATGAAGTCCGCAGCGGCAGGCCCTCCGATGCGGTTACCGAGGAAAATGTCAAAAAAATACATGAAATGGTGTTGGCTGACCGGAAAGTGAAGGTGCGCGAGCTAGCAGATGCTACAAAGATTAGTACTGAGCGAACACGCCATATTTTGGGCGAGATTCTGCATAAGAAAAAAATTTTTTTCATTCCCAAGGAGGTTACTTTTCACCCCACCTAGTATTGCAGATATGTCGCAATTTTTAAATGTTTCATTTTTCATTTAAAATATTTTTGAGAAATATCTCTGAAAAATTTTGGTGCTACACTACACAGACTTTTATATAGAAGTCTGTGTGTGTTTGAAATACTAACATTTATAATGTCTAAGTACAGTTTATTTTCTACTTGACGTTTATTTTCTACTCAAATACTATCAATTTTACAGAAAAACTGCAAGAGACAAAAATCATTAATTTTTTTCTCATCAAATTTTAAGAATTTTTTCAGAATTTTTTATCAACTTTTTACTGCATTTTCTTATTTTCGATAAGTCAGGCCGTTACTATGATCCAAAATTAATGCACTGCAGTGAGTCATCGATGGACGCTTTTGGCATGCAAAACGTGACAGTACTATATATTTACAACATGTACCGTGACACATATATACATCGACGTATATGACGGTATATACGTCAACAACATGTTATTATTCCGACAACATGTTATCGCTAAAAAAAATTTGGATATCGTGAATGTAAAAAAATTTCAACTTTTATAGAGATGATAAATGAACTTGCCTTTACTATTGCAAACTGAATAACAAAGATCGTTGAATTCGATGCACATTTGCGCGTTCCGCGATTTTTTGGGTTCCAACAACTTTTCCGATTCCTCCATATGGATCTTACAATCGTTATCCACTATTCTTGCAACGTTATTATTGTTTGTTTTCACCATTTTGCTAGACTTTTATGAAATTAGCTTCGTCGTCAATTCATTAATTAAAGAGCTATAATTATTAAGTATTTTATCAGTTGCATATACGACAGACTGTGCACTGAATTCCGATTTTATGACTGCTCTGATATCTTGTACTGCTGATTATAAACGTAAGCAGAGACGTATCTAGTAGGAGGAGTTAACGAAACTGATTCCTACCGCGAGCATAAATTTAAGAGAAGGGGAAAGAAAAAAATATCCTAGAAATCTATCTTTAATTATTACCTGTGTCTCATTATCAATCAAACACAAGTGATTTACAGTTTAATGTATATGCCATGTAGTAAATTAATTCTTTTTAGCCAAAGAGAGAAAAGTGAAATTATAACTTTTTCATGAACATAACACAAATTTATAAATATCTAATAAAATACTGTTTCAACACATTATATCCAAAATGTTTTTTTATCTTACATCTTTATACTATGTAGTTTATATGATGTAATTTTTTCAAAATTAAAATGGATAGAAAAAATAAAAAAAAATAAAAAAATACTCAATAAAAAATATGATGATACTTTTACAACAACGTAAGTTTTTAGTACAACATAAGGTTTAATATTAATTTAAGTTTCTCTTAATAAAAAGAGAATCATTACAAAATCATCTTTAAAAAAAATAATAAAGATACAAGTATAAGTTTTTTGAAAAATAACTGCAGCTACTTTTAAAAAATAAATCTCGAATGATACGTTTCTTTGTATTCTCATTCTTCCTATTCCAATCCAAGTAGTAATATGTATATAACTTTAATTCTCCTTAAAAAAATAATATCACAAAATTGCACTAATTAAAATAAAATTTATACATGTTACACTACCTAACTGATCCTAAGTGATATGCATTTACGAATTTTAAGAATAATTTTATTTTGACCTAAATAATATGTTGTATTTTTTTTGTTTTAACTTAACATTCAAAAATATATTGAATATAAAAAACTAGATGCTGAACTGCTATACTAAATATATACAGGGTATTCTGAGATATATTACCAGTACTGAAAATAGTTACGTAAAGATTTTCTGTGCTGCATAGATCGGGAACACACAGTCATGAAATACTAATTTGATAGAAGGTAGGCCCTAGCTATAAAAAAACAACTCTAATATTTATGAACTCAGCAACTGTGAATACATAGAGCACATAAGAACTATATCGATCTTGCATTGTCAGAAAGGTTACTTTTAGTCGCCATTAGACGCTATAGCAGAAGTAAAAACGGAGTTATCATACAAGTGTCATAGACTTCAATTCCACAAACGATAGCACATAAAACATCTTTTTTGATATAGCCTGTATATCGATTGAATGAAACCTTTATCATTGCGGAAGAGATAATAATAGTTCAATATTTTCCTGTTAACTTTACTTGTTATCAAGGACAAAATATTGTTTTTTTTAGAAAAAGGAAATAGTTCTTTATTAGATTTTTTTGTAAAAGAAAATGATGGAGTAAAAAAGAAATAAGCCGCATTTGAAATTTTTAATATAAACTATAGATACAAATTACAAAAGTAAGATTCCTTATGACAATAATAATTAAATAATGAGTAAGTTGGACAATTAGGAATCGGCGCTGTAAGTGGTATGCTTAAATGACTAAAATCGTTATAATCTAATGATATATTTCTACAATTCAATAATGTATGTTTCGGTTAAATTCTAGCCTTCTCAGCGAATATTTCAAGAATTGCATTTCATTGACTGATGTACAGATTCTGTTAGCTAATCTCCCATACATTTTCCCATGACCAATTGGTGAGCTCTTAAGAAATTAAGACCTTGAATATAATGTTACTTTATTTACAGTGCCGATTCTTAATTATTCAAGTTACTCATAATAATTTTGTATCTATTTCCATGTATTGCAAAATTATAATAAATGCTGAATCAAGAAACATCTTAAGATTCCTTATAATAATAATAATAATTAAACAATAAATAAATTGGGCGATTAGGAATCTTTAAGATCTACAGTAAGTGGTGTGCATAAATGACTAAATTCGTTTTTCCGAATAATATAAGTCCGAATAATATACATATTTTAATAATTAAATGACGTTCGGCTAATGTCAAGCCTTCATCAGCGAAATTTTTATAAGTTGTATTTTAAAAGAACGGCATAATTTAAAATAGACATAGAACTATTGAATCCTTGTTATCGTTGTTTTCTGTTTGATTACTGATTATTCATATCAAATGATAAACAAATTTGACTTTAGTCGTTTCATTTTCATTTCACTGTGAGACCATCTTGCAACCATCAACATCGTTACTTTAATTTTATTTTATCGACATATTATAATACACTCCAATTTTTATATTATATACACAATTTTTATATTATATACACATTCAAATGCTAATTATTTATAGATTATTGTTACATCTTTGTGCGTTGATTCATGAGATAGCTCTTTAATCAATCAATTTATTTTCTGTCAACATATTACAACTAATATTATATTCAAGGTTAAATTTCTTGAGATCATCCGGGTCATTAATCTGGCGGCTATGAAAAAATGTATATGGAGATTAGCCAATGGAAATCCACATACACATCAATTAATGAAACGCAACTCTTGAAATATTTACTGAAAAGGCTAGAATTTAAGCCGAAACACACGTACAGTGTTAAATTATAAAAATAACAATAATAAGTAATTATTTTTTTCTTTTCAATTGTTTTCTTTCACAAAGTTTAGAGTAGTACAGTTCGATACATAGTAATAGTAGAAAAGCTCTTTCGCTTTATTCAAAATATTCTGATAATTAATTTTGCAATTATTTTTTCAATTCTATTAGTTCATCACTTTCTTATTCGATTAGTGTTCTCAACATAGATTTTAGTATTATGTGCTATTGGTGTTCGTTTGTTTAGTTAGCGATTGTTTTTCCTATATTAAACTATTTAGTTTCGCAACAATTTAGAGCTGTGTTTGACATATTTTACAATATTAGTTGTGCACTATTTTTCATGATTCAGTTTTATTGTTTAATTGCATTATGAACAATTATTGAGAGAGGTGTAACACAAGCCAGAGGTCTAACGCAAGAAGAAGAAATACAGAAGTAAGAAGTAGTTTCTTTCTAATATTTAACATATTTTCTAAATGTCCTGAGTTATCTAAATTAACTTTAAACTACAGTTTTATCGTTCAATTTTTTATAAGCAACATTATTACTTACATACTTGATCAAAATAAAATGTAATGATTAATACGGAATTCGATTTCAATGTGATGGCAAAGGGATAAAATAACATATTTTATGCCTATATATACGAGTTTTTGAGAAAGTATGATGATGGTGGCTTGATAAAATGAAGCAGAACGTAGCTATGCGTAATATTCCATGTAAAGCTGTGATGTAAGAGTGCCTCATTCTCAGCATCTATTGCTTGGACAACAAACGGTTTTAGTGGGTTGTGAGTTCCATCGAGAGGAATAAAATAGCATGGTTTGAAGTGATTCTGACCAAAAAACACTCTTCCTTTGTGTTTAATTTAGAATCGATTTCAGAGATAAATAAAGATAAAAAGAAAAGTTAAGGCTTCGATCAAATTTTGATTAACTTAATCAATGATTAACTCTGCCGGTAGAATCGCTTTAAGACAAAATCTTTAATACAGTTTATTATTCTTAATCTAGTACATTGCTAAACATAATTTCAGTACATTATTGAACATAATTCAATTAATTAATTTAATAACTTTATTTGTATTATTTAATAAAACAGTGCTGATTAAATTAATCGAAGTTTATTAAAGTAACTCTAAATGATTATTGGTTATGCAATGTGTACGAGTATGTTATAGATATAATTGTGTCACAAAATTTAGAACTTTATAATTTTTCAGATTTTTTGTACTTTGTCTAATTTATATTAACAAAAATAAAACTAACAAAAATAAAACTATTTTTAAATAAAAAATAAAAAGGGAAATGACGAAGGAATACTTCATCTTTCTATACCGATTTACTTCTTTTATTTATTCTAGCATCTGTATTTATCTTCGATATACATATTCATTATGTGGCAATACATATGTGCATAATTACCTAGTACAAGTTTGAAAAAGTATGTTATCATTTCTTATGCACCGGAAATAACATTGATCCGTACACGTATATTACATAGTTAAGTTAAATTAACTATGCAATTGTTTTGTTTATAAAGAGACAAATAATTTTTAGTTACCAATGTTGTACACAGAATTTTGTACAAAATATGCTATAAATTAATCATTAAATAATTGTAATACGGATTTTAGAGTAAAGATATTTATATTATTTAAATTATATCCTTGTGTATAAAAATGCACTATAAAACAAAAAACAGGTATCCTATTTTAAAAAATCCACTTAAATATCTCAGAAACATTATGTCGAAAAATGTTTCAGATAAAAGTTTTGTGAATTCGAGGATGATATCATTAGTTCCCATACAGCACGGAATTGCAGCGATATTGCAGTTTTTCAATTCAATTGTATGTAGCTAAATTTAATTGAAACCTATTGAATCCAATTGAATTTGAATTGAAATCAATTAAATTCAATTGGATTCAAAAAAAGTTATCGCTATTTAAAACACGCATTTGGATAAATAAAATTTCAATCTGTTTTAATCCATTTTCGTTTACTGGAATGTTTTAAGAAGTAAGTTATGAGAATATGCAAAAAAATGGGAAGTCCGATTTAAAAAAATTCAAAGTGACATTAGAACACCTCGTGACATTAGAACTTAATATCTAATTATTATAATTATTATACATTATAATTATTATATCAATATATTATCTTTTTTGGACTTTCAGACTCATACAAATCAGTTTTAAATTTTAAATTTTTAAATGTATAAGTAAACAGATTAGTTGGGCACAGGTATAAGTTGGACCTTGGGACATACAAATATCTTACAATTAATAGTCAAAACACGTATTAACATATTTATTATATAAGACAGTATGACGACTATCGCACTGAATACTGAATATATTCTTCACGGTTGACTGTTAATGGACGAACATATACGCTTTTTCATTCTATAATTAAACATTATAATTAAACATCAAAAAGTAAAATTATTAGATGAGTGTTCTTCTTGGTCTACGTGATCAAAAAATCGATGTCGATTCGATGTCGATTTCATTATCATTTCTGACTTGGATGAGCAAATAAATATCATTAGTTTACAAAATTTCAAAACATTGGAAATTAATATTGTTGGCAAAATAATGGCATGTGATGAATTTGCATTTCATATATAGCTTCGTGCCGACAACATAATGGCACGTATATTTTACATGTCATCAAGATGCTATTAATCGCTATCATCAAATTTAGAAGTTACATAAATTAGCAACATTTCACGCAATGAGGAAGCATTTTTCCTCTAGTTTATCGACATCTTTTGCAACGACTGCTTAACATGACGGCATCTTAAACTCATTTGACGATATATCAACTCGGAAAAAAAATTTAAATTTAAAAAAACGGCAACGTATGAAGCAATCTAATAAAAACCAAATGGTCTTTTAACATAAGTCATTATAGTATATTTTTAACTATTTTATTCAAGTTGCTATTTTATTTATGATTTTTTAGTTATAAAATAAGTTTTCAGTAACACAGTACAACAGTATGACAGTACAACAAATTGAGTCAAATAACATGTATTAAGAACGTTCTTCGACTGCAGTTGTGTTCAACCTAATGAGCACATTAATACTCATCATTATGAAAATTTTTATGAAAATTTAATTCATTTTTATATAGTATAAGATATTCCGTAAGTGTTAATGTGTTTATATAAGTTTTTTTATACAATATAAAATGTTTCCCGCCTTTGCTACTACCGCCGGTCAAAAAAATTGCGACTTATTACTTACTTTGCTACTTACTTTGCTCAATGATTTCTTAAAAGCGAATCCCGGAAGCCATATTCAAACAAATTTTATATTATTCCTTGAGATATCAAATTTTATGTCTCATTGTTTCAAAAAATTGTTAAGAAAAACTTTTTTACAGTGAATAAAAAGACTATTTTCCAATGAGCTTCAGGGATCCTATGTATACACATATGTGTGTGTGTATGTGTGTGTGTGTGTGTGTGTGTGTGTGTGTGTGTGCGTGCGCGTGCGTGTGTATATGTACATATGTATATATATATGTACATATGAAGTTGAAGTTTAAAATATATGTATATATATTAGGTGTTGGAATTAATTCGTAGCGTTTTACAAGTGATGGGAAGTACTTTCATTAATGTATTTTTTAATGCTCATGTGAAATAAATAACATTCTTTCATTAAAAAACGCTACGAATTAATTCCAACACCTAATATATATACATATATTTTAAACTTCAACTTTAAAGTGGAATATCTCGATTTTTAATTCCGCTCCGGGTATTGAATTTTAAAGAACATATGTTCAAGACACTAAACAAACTTATTCTGTAAGTTCCAGAAAAATCTAAAGAAAATGGATTTTTTCAGAGAACGTCCTTAACTAACTTGTCTTATAAATTGAGATGTGCTTATAAATATAAAATATGTCTTTATTGCGTTTTCTGTTTTTTTTTTATTAATTAAACATAAAATAATTAAAAAGTTAAAAAGATGTCTTTAAGAGCCAACACAGGTTGTAAGTATGTAAATATACTTTATTATAAAAGATAAATATATTATATATTTCGATTCTAATTTGAATCCTCTTCAGTATAAACTTAATATTCGCAGAAAATAACATAATCATGAAAATCGTCAAGAATATCGAAGTAAAAGTCATCAAGAATATCGATGTAAAAGAGTTAATATTTGATAACATCAAATGTTGAACTAGTTCTCATATCACTTGTTAATGATTGTTCATTAAATTTCAATAAAATGAACAATAAGGTTGATAACAATATCTGCGAGTATATGATCATTAAATTGTCAAATTTAATGAAAACACTGATATCTAATAATAGACGATGTTAACAGTGAGAATATTATATAAGCGTAATCATTACGCAATGAATGAATGGCATATTACTATTAGTAATGAATGAAAACGCAGCGATAACTCGCAAATCTTCTAGTATCTTTTCAATTTTTGTTTTGTTTTATAGTATGTGCACATACATAATTCAAGTAAAAGATAAACAAAATTTGTGACCTAGGAACAAATATACATAGCTCATATCTATATTTAATATAGCTTATATTTTTTTTAATAACCTTAATAATATATTTCATTCGTACTTTATCTTAGAGATCTTTCTGCGAACGTTCTCAGGACATCAGTGCGTTTTTTAGAACATCTCTTGAACATCTGTACTCTACTTAGAATTGTGTTTTTATAATATATGATCCTATTAAACAATTATCTTTATATTAAGAAATTATTCTGTCGGATGTTCACGAAAAGAAGAAATCATGAAATTTAAAGGAGTAACATAAGTTGTTTATTGTACATTAATTTTCTACATCTCAAATATAATTGTAAATACCATTTAATCGGAGAATTGCGTGTATTTATTTCTATTTTTAAAATAAATTTAGAAATTTCATTCTCAATATGATCATACAAACTTTCTGTTCCTTATATTTTTAAATTCATATAACTACTTATTTAAGATCATCAGGACATTTGGCAGTATCTCAAACGTCAAATGCATATATAATTTATTATAGTATAATCTGTACTTCTATAATAAACTTTTGCACTTTTAGTAAATATATATGTATATATTGTTAAATGTGTGTGTGTGTGTGTGTGTGTGTGTGTGTGTGTGTGTGTGTGTGTGTGTGTGTGTGTGTGTGAGTGTGTGTGTGTGTGTGTGTGTAAAAACAGAGAAAAGTTATAAATTCATAAAAATTAAGATCTTACAAATAAAACATAAGCTTATGGAGAAAATTAATTAAAATTTGAAAATATTCGGTATATTTTTTATTTAAAATAATAATAAATTATTCAAAGACTCCAATATTTAACAAATAAATTAAGGAAAAATAGCCAATGCAAAGCAACATAAGATGTTTTTGTGAAAATAATTATCATATATTAAAAAAATAAGTTACAGACTTTTCGACATCGTAATCCTCTTAAAATGTGAACATAACATATACCAATAAATATACCAATAAAAACATTCCAATAAAATAAAATAAGGTTGTCAATAGTAAAAAATTATCAGAAGCGAAAAATATTGTTAAGCTGTAAAGACTATAATTATCTTCGTCTGTCGTATCTTGACGGATTCAAACTGATAAGGAAGTCACTATAATAAAATTAAGTACAATAGAAACTTTGGCTCAATATCAATATTCATAAAGTAATTATGCGTTTTATTTTTAACGTAGCTGCGGTAGGATGTCTACATCCGAAAGACTGGATCACAAAATTCAATTACAAGTGTATTCAATATTATATTTCTGACATACATTATTAACGTACACTCGAAATTCCGGCTTTGATTTTTACATTAAATAAGATATTTTGAAGATGTCCTAAGGACATCAATTAAATGTTTAGAGGACGTCTTATATGTAGGATATATGTAGGATATATGATATTCCGGGAACATTCATTATATATGTTCATATAAGCGTTGAATATTATTATCATAATCATTGATATCATCATTATTATTTACTGTTATTATTCAGGATTAAGTGCTAAGTTAAAAAAATAAAAATTAAGTTAAAGAGTTAATTAATTTTAACTTAACTTAATTACATTTTAGACTCTTAATTTTTTAACTTAATTTAGTTACATTTTATCGGTAACTATTAACTTTTAAATTGATTTTTTTTAAAGTCAATCCTCAGATACAATGCGAGAGGTTAATGAGTATATAATTTAATAATTTTATATTGTATAATCGTTACTTGTGAACAAAAATAACCAGATTCTTTAATAAATACACTATGCTGTGAGAAAGGAAAAATACGAATTATGCAAAGTGATCAAACTTTTTCTTTTTTTGTTTTTAATTGTTCGTTCGTACCATATTTAACTTTTCAATTTTTTTTATTAACTTAACTTTTAATTCAATTAATTTCATTATGGATTAATTTATATTTTAATTAAGTTAAATTTTCAAGGCTATTAACTTTAATTTAACTTAGTTGAAAAGAAAGTTAACTTATCCAACCCTGCTATTATTGTCATTATTGAATCGTCAATATAGTGATATATTGATATACAATCATAATAACAGTACAAAATATGTATAAAATTAATTCAAGTAATTAATTAATTTTATTTTTATTACAATTACATAATTATTATTTTTATTATAATTACATAATCATGGACATTATATTAATACTAAATAATAATCAATTAATATAAATGTATTTTCTTAAAATACAATTTCTTAATTTAAGCAATAATAATAATAAAATCTACTGCTTGTAAAAAATATCTGTGTAAATTTTTTGACCATACGCGCGATTCAAAATTTATTTAGTAAAAAATAATATTCTACGTAAAAATTGTAAATTAGTATTACTGTTTCAATGCTGTTCTTATTCATATTACGAAAAAGCATTATTTTTACTGACAAATATTATTTTCTACTAAACAAGTTTGTAATCGCGCAATATTCAGAGAATGATAATAGAATCGACATTCATTCGATATTCATTCCATTATCATTTCTCATTGGGATATATCCAAACAATGTCCATAAAAAATCCATTCACGACTAAAGGCAGTACATTGTATGTCCAAAAGACGTCTGCCAGACGTGATCGGGACGTCATCTTTAATCTGGACGTCGAACGTCTGAACGAGATATCCTGTGGACGTCTAAAGGATCCACATCCATATGTGTGTGTGTGAATATTAATTTGAATAAACAATTTATTAATATTAATTTTACTGATGATCACTTTTTTGCATGATAAATTTTCCAAAGAAGTACTACGTAAGTAATCACGTGAAAAAAGATTATCCAAAAAGCAAGTATTATCACAGTTATATAGAATGGAACTGTTGGTATGCCCATCATCGTGAGAATCTTGTTTGGTGAACGCAAGTAACAGTAGATTTCTAAACACATTAGATTCGGTCGATCAAGATAGATCGCTTGCATTACTCCTTCAAACGCATATCTGCAATAAAATTTTCTTTTAAAACTGAAAATATACAGTGAACTGAAGTTAAATAAAAGCGTATCTCCACACGGAAAGAGAAATAATTCTCAATAAATAGCCATTATAAATTAAAAATATTATTTATATGGAAAACATCATATTTACAGTAATAAATTTAAATTTTAAAAGCTTTTAATTAATAAATCGTTGTAATATTAAATTGTACCTAAAAAAGCTCACATATCCTAGAGGCTGCAAGTATATCGACATTTCTGCAAATTTTGAAAAGAATCCAGCAAACAACAATAATGGTATACCAATTGCCGGTATTACAAATATACCTATCTGAAAAGAAATTATACTTAGTTATTTAAAATTTTTATATTAAATATCTAGAGAATAATATGTATAAAATGTCCAAAATCGAAAAATAAAACGTCTCATTTATATTCCGATTTTGAACATGCATCCCAGTAAAAAATTTTTCATGCATGAATATATATAAATATATATAAACATATATAAATATTCATAAACATGAATAATCATCATATATGAAATATGTCCATACTTGTTCATACTTGCTCATCTTTTTTTCTTTTGTAAAATTATTTTTTAGTGCAATAGAAATAATAATGTAATGTGAAAACATTAAAAATAATTAAAGAGATCATTTTTGCATTGTTCGTTTTAGAGAAAAACAAGTTTGGAAAAATGTAAAAAAAAATTATGTTCACAATTATGCATAATCTTATATATTAGGTAATTATACATAAGTGATTTTTTATATTCTTCAAACTTGATTTTTTTCTAAAACAAATAGTGTAAAAATTACTTATTTAATTATTTTTAATGTTTTCACATTACTATTATTATTCTTATTACTAAACAGTAATTTTACAAAAAAAAAAAGAATAATGTATTCCATATGTGAAAAATCAGTGAAAACTACAATTTTTATCATTTACGAAAAAGAAGTATTCTAACTTCATTAGATAACTTTACTCATAACTTTACTGATAACTCATAACTTTATTAATAACTGTGTTTATCTTTTTAACAACATTTTTTATTGAACTGTCATATTTTCATTAACGTTAAGTGTTCATCATAAAAGTATTAGTCTTGTATGATCACATAAGCTTTTTTAGTATAGTTATATTGCTTTTTTGTCTCGAATATGATGTCAAAATCTGTGATATTAAACTATTATTTTTATAATCTTAGGAATGTCGATTAATATTATCAATATACTTGTCAATGAACAATCAAAATTTAACATCAAAGTGACATGTGTTTGCTACCTAGACTTTTCCGATGTAATGTATTGTATTATAATATGTAATGTTAAATTGTTATGACCTTTATCTTGCTTTTCAAACATAAAAGTTACGTAATGTAAAAATTAATTAAAAGATACACCGTTAAAATACCTCACTGCCAAATATTATGCCTGAAAATATCCCGGTTGTTTGTCCAAGCATTGTAATTAACAGGAAAATTCCCCACACCCGTAAAATTCTATCATATTCCATTGGCTGTCCTGTTAAATAGTATGATATAAGTATGAAAGATGAGGCACAAAGTATCTAAAAAAAAAAAAAACGAAACTGTAATTAACTTAGAAAGCTATGATAATATATTTATATAGTTATAATCTGATTACAATCTTTAGTCATAACTTTATACCTGAAAAAAATAATTAATAACAAAGTTATAGTGCTGCATTTAAACATACTTGCATTAAAAGATCCGATATTATTTTTACACTGTAGTAGGATCTTAAAGAGTACCAATTGTTTAAATGTTCTTGTAACAATATTGTCGCTTCAACGGGAACTACAATCAGATTTAACTTAATACAATTTATGAAATTCATAAAATACGTTTATGATAATTATAAACGTGATAAATTGTGAAAACATTATCGAAGAGATTTATTAACTTTTTAAAAGTATCAAAAAGATATATTGTAATATTATATCGATAATTTAATTATTGTCAACAAGAGATGCAGTTTACTTGGCGTTACAAATCCTCCTATTGATTGATTAATCAGAAAAAAATTTTACTAACCAATGAATGTTTCAAAACATTTATAGCATCAAATCGATTATAGTCTATATTACATAAATTATACAGTGTTTATGTATGTTCATACATAAAAGAACATATATCACTTACACACTTGTACTAACAATATAGCATTTGTAAAGTATAAAAATAATATACAGAAAAATAAGTAAGCGATGTTGCTGCCAACTTTTTCCGCGTCATTACCGAAATTATAGAAAACTGTCCCTAATAATAGTGCGACTATGACGTGTGTCGCAAATCTTAGTTTTGTTAAAGTCTGAAAAATTAATCAAAATAATAATTTTTTAATTTGTCAAACAAATTGTTTGAATATTACTTTCGAAAGTTTTTACTCACTGTATGTCGCTTGATATAAATTAAAGATCGTAAAAATAAAATCTTTTGCTCTTGCCATGTTGATTTCTTTTGTGTTGTGCTATTTATAGATGCGTCTGTATCTTTTGTTTCACATTTCTGTTTGAAATTAATCGATAAATCTAATTCTATAAAAAAATTAATTAAATAATTAGTATTAGTTAATTTAATTTAATAATAATAATTATGGAATGACATTATTTAAATTTTAAAACGCTATGCTATTTAAGTTTAACATGGAGAAAGATAATTTTGCTGTTATAACAAATATATATTGCTATGTATATTTGTAATAGCAGTGATAAAATTTAGTTGATATAATCAGTTTTAGAAATTATTTGTTGTAAAGTAGAATCTGTTTTGCTAAGATAGAAAAAATTTGCTATGTGTATTTGTCTTTAGAACCAAAGTTAATTTGTTGTTAAAGCAAAATAATATCTTAGCAAATATTTTTTTACTATTGTCCTTAGTAATATTTTTTATTATTATACAAAATTATTACTGCTCATTCAAATCCATTATGACAGCAAAAAAAATTTATTATTGTAATCGATTTGTGTTATTACAGCAAAACTTGATTTGTTAAGATGCATATCTTATCCTTCTATCCTGCATATTAAATGACTGTCTCCTTTCTGGAGTCTTCTTATAACGTTCATTGCGTCTATGAAATGTGTTATCGCGAATGACCTCTCAATATCTTATCGCATTTATTTTCATTTTTTTTCTATTATTTACGTTATATGTTTCTGTTACTTTTAATATCAACATATATTTATAATAATACGAAATCTGCTAGACAGTTGGAGATTATCTGAAGAAATTATTTCAATATTAATTCTTACTATACAAAGGGTCACTAGTGATCGAGCGATTCCTATTCATGCAAGTTTCTTTGAATATTTCGATAATTATAAATTAGACTACATTTTATTATTTTCCAAAATAAAGTTTCAATATTTATTCTAGAAAGTTAAAAGTTATGTTGGTAAATTTTTAGAGATTTTTTGAACCATTCTAAATAGGTGAAAAAAATGCACGGATTCTAGTGACCCAGTTTGTACGGCTACATGAGGCACCAAATTGTATAATACCTTGTATTTAGTACTATCTTTTTAATACATCTTTCGATCATGTTTTGTTGCCTAATCGAGGGATCTATTAAAAAAATGTATTTTAAGTTGTTAATTTTAAAATAATTTCTTTAGGCATTCCTCAAATTCTCCTCAAGCAGATTTTGTATATTATTTTAGGAAAATTGTTTTGTTCATACAATTAAAATATGTCGTTAATTTATTAAATATATCTTGCTACAATAGCAAATTTGATTGGCTCATGTAGTTCAAATAAATTGTTTATAGAACAAAATCATCTTGTTAGTTTTTCAAATGTACTTTGCTTTTGTAGCAAATTGTATTGCAAAAAAGATTAGTTAATTAAACAAAAATTTATTAATTTTTACAGAAAAATAATTTGTAGTTTTAGCTTAATCCAGCAAATAGCAATCAGTAATTTTAACAAATCTTTTTTCTATCCATATATGTATTAACTGATAAATTTTGCTACAATAAAATCTGCTATGCCAGCAAATTATTTTTCTCCGTGTGGGCGAGATCATTAATCACAAAATTTTCAGTACATAACAGTACATAATTGTTATAAAATAAATATATTACCTTCTTCATTATGTTTATTGCGTAACCTAAACTTTACGTATTCGTCACAACAGATCTTGTATAGATTTTCCATATCTCCACCCCTTTGTTTTGTTACTACCTCAAGCACTGTAATTAAAACACAATTAATTATTTTTTCGCTTTTTTAATTATTAGATGTTTTTAAAGTATTTTAATTTTTAAAATGTAAAATAAAGAATTCGGCAACTATTTTAAAATGTATTTATTATAATTTAAATATCCATATAGCATAGATCAAGGGGGGTTTTACAGAACATTCTGAAAACATTCCAACATTCTGAGAATGTTCTTAAGAAGATCTCTGGGATAAAGTTTGCTGTATAGATATGACTGAATAGATTTTTAAATAATACACATTTTTTACGGAAAACTGGATCAAATATTTTATTATAAAAATAATATTATTATGTATATATATATATATATATATCAAATATATTCTATATATATGTATATACAGAAATATTCATATTTCTTATTTTCAAATATTAAAATATTAAAAATAACAGTCTATCTATTTTTCAAAATTAATTGCAAAATGTATCTTTTTAATATAAAATTATAAAATTTACTTGCAGGATTAATAAGAACTAATTCTAAAATTATAAAAAAATATAAAAAATGCGCACAATACTCTATTCTATATTAATTTTCCTAATTCTCCTATCTTCTTGTAATTTATTTAACAAATCTAATCAATAGAGTCAATCTTACCAAATTCAATTATGTTATAGAAGTTGGGACACGTAAATCCGGCAATACTGTACATGTTTAAGATCTCGTTCTTTGGACCGCAATACATACATCTGCCTTGGTTAAGTACAATAATATTATCGAAGAGCGAAATCATCTGACTGCTGGGTTGATGTATTGTACAAATCACAGTGCAATTCGCTCTTGCCATATCATGCAGTATATTAATAAGCTATTTAACGCAAATCATACATATATAGTTTCGATATAGCACATTAAGAACTTAATATTAAAGTTGAACTATAATTCAAAACAATACATTATAACATTCTAGCTATGTTGTAACATATTGCTTAAATATTCTGAGCATTTGTATAAAATAATTAATTTATAAAAAGAAGGGATAAATATCGATTAATTTATATATCGAGTAATTTATGTCAAATAATATCAAATAACACATTAAAAGAGGATATTAAAAAAAGATTGACTTCTGCCCATAAAAGGTTTTATACTAAAAGAAATAGTGTTTTTATAAATTTTAATTGGATACGATAAACTATAAAGTTATTAAAAAGTTTTTGGAGGCGATATATTGGAGGACATCTTGAACAAAAACATTGAAATTTAGATCCCATATTCGTGCTTAATTCTTCAAGGTGTTTCCTATATCTTTCTCGAACTTTTTATCATATTATCATATTTCAGGAAGTCTCTTAAAATTTATTAAAAAATCCTTTCCCTTTTACTTATACTCTTTTAGACAGAAGTACCCTTTTTATCATCCTCTTTTATAAAACGATTGTTATTAATATATAGTTGCATTAGAAATTTATGCTACCTGATTAGAGTCCGTACTGTCGAGACCGCTTGTTGGCTCGTCTAATAAAAAAACGGATGGCTGAACGAACATTTCCACGCCGATAGAAAGTCTCTTCCGTTCACCACCGCTTAATTTATTCGTCAATGTGTCCAGACAGTTCGATAAGTTGAAACGTTTCGCGATATCGTTCACCTGACAGAAAAAATGTCTGATGTATGCAATACTCTGATGTATGTCAATCTACATAAATTTACTCGCCAAGCTAAATAGTAGTAGAAATAATAATAATAATCATATAGATGTTTCAAGTAAAGCATTACAAATTTTTATCTCGGAAACATGCATTATTGAGAAAAATTGTTCAGACATAAGTTGTAGGATTCAAAAAGATCTATTTACTGATCTTACCAGTTTGACTTAATGAAAAGTTATCCAAGTAAAATTGCTTATTCTTATAGGCAACAAACATGATCGAGAGATGTATTAAAAAAATGTATTAATTTTGAAATAATTCTTTAGCTATTCCCCAACTGTCTAATAGATTCCGCATTATTATGAATATATGTTGACGTTGAATAAAGTAACAAAAGTATGTAATGTGAATAATAGGAAAAATAAAAATAAATGCGATAAGATATTATAAGAGATTACTCGCGACAACATATTTATAGACGCAGCGACGCTGTAATAACTGAAGATTCCAGAAGGAAGACGACAGTCATTTGAGCATACATAGAGTAGAAGGCGCGTCCTAACAAATCAAGTTTTGCTGTAATAATACAAATCAATTACAATAAAAAATTTCTTTCGTTGTCATAATGAATTTGTATGAGCAAGTGATTTTGCTTCAATAGCAAAAAAATTTGCTAAGGACACATTATTTTGCTTTAAATTAACTTAATTTGAAAGACAAATACACGCAGCAAATTTTTTCTATCTTAGCAACAAAACAGATTCTTCTCTAATAACAATTAATTTCTAAAACTGGTTGTATTAACTAAATTTTATCATTGTCATTATGAATATGCAGCAGCAATGATAGTTTGCTACAACGGCAGAATCATTTTTCTCCGTATACTTATAATTAATCTGAACGACTTTGTAAGTCAAAACGGTTGCGACATTGCAAATAAAAATAAAATAAATGTTATTTTCTTAACCATTAATTGCTCGATTATAGGCTAAGAAACTATTTCATTGTGTAGCAGTTTTTCGAGCGGATAGGTATATTATTTAATAATATTATTTAATAATAATTTAAATAAATATTTTATGTATATATAAAATTATTAAATAA